CCATGGAGACCACACTGCATGGACTGTCACCAGTGTCCAGTTTACAAAGAGATGGGTCGATACCGAGGGAAAACTTCCTCAGGACTTCCTATGAGGCCATGGTCAAGAAAGTCCTTTGACTTGTCCTCACTTAGGTGGAGCAAGAGAAAGACAGTAAGAGAGAGGCTAGAGGATCCAGAGGTTCTTCTCATGCCCAAGTGACTCCTAACGATCAAATTCCCAACCTACTTTGATAAAAAAAGAAAAAGAAAAATTAATTTTGCCCATTTTCATGGTGCTAAACACCCAACAGAAAAATCTAGCCAAAGATTAAAATTATATATATATATATATATATATATATATATATATATATATATATATGTATATGTATGTATATGTATGTATACATATATATACATATATATGTATGTATATGTATGTATATGTATGTATACATATATATACATATACGTATATATACATATACATATATATATACACATACATACATACATACATATGATCCAGAGTATTACACATCCCAGATGTGAAGCTTAAACCCATATGAGATGTTCTTTGGGCACTGTTTCCCACTAATGACTTTTTTCTGATAAGGAAAATGTTACTCAGATGTAAGACTCTAAGTCACTGATTCTCAACCTTCCTAAAGCTGCGACCCTGTAATGCAGATCCTCCTATCATGGGGACCCTTAACCATGAAATCATTTCCTTGATACTTTATAACTGTATTGTTGCTATGGTTATGAATAAAAATCTCAGTATCTGTGTTTTCCTATGATCTTTGGGGGTCAAGATCACTAGGCTGAGAACCCCTGATTTAAAGACTCCCCTTGCCATGTGGCTGCTGGCCTCTGTGCCGGCTTGAGGAGAAGCAGTGGCTCTTTTTCTTGTGTCCTTCTTCTCCAGGCAGCTACTGAGAGTCACCACTTTCCTGCTCTATTGTTTTTAAAACTCTGGTAAAAATGTCCTTAAACTTTCTATTGAGTCCATTCTTAAATTCTTTGGTCAACGAGACTAAGAATTCCAAGAGGGGACCCTGACGTCCCCTGGATTGCTAACACACAGATTTCACTTTTATGAATTTGTAGATTAATACTGCCTTTCCAGAGAACAAACTGGGGTATTTAGTAAAAGCTAATAAACTTATGTTCATAATTCAGCAGACCTACTCTTGGGTAAATATTTCAAAAATGCTTTAAATATTTATTGTTTATTTCTATGTGTCTTGGTGTTTTCCCTGCAGGTACATGTGTGTTTCATGTGCAGGCGTGCAGTTCCCATGGAGGCTGGAAGAGGCAGTGCTTTGCCTGGGAGTGGAGTTACAATCATTGTCACCCCATGTGTGTGCTGGGAATTGAACCCATGTCCTCTGGAAGAACAGCCAGTGCTCTTAACTACTGAGCTATCTCTCCAGCCCCTCAAAAAAAAAGTTCTTTTCAAAATACGTTGAGAATGGCTCGGATGAGGTTGCTTAGTGTTGCAATGTCGGCTTTCTGAGCTACTGGAAGCTATTTAGGCTCTTATCATAGAGAAATGAGCAAATAAAATGTAGTGCGTGCTCAGTGTGAGTCACTAAGCTTGAAGCAGGGGCGACACAGAGCAACATGAACAGATTGCGAGACCGTAATACTGAGTGACAAAAGAAGGCAAGGGAGAAAACTGCCCAATAAAATAAAATAGTTGTACACACTCAATAATACTATCTATCTTAGAAGGATACATGCGTAGAGATGGGTATTAAACACGTGCATGAGCTCGTGTGGAAAAATGATCATACACATTGGCAAGAGAAATCTGATGAATATTTTCACCCGAGATGACTAAAGGCTTCCTTCTCATACAGAGAGTTGTATTGTAATGACCGCATTCCCAGACGCAGATTTGTATGCATCTGTCAACGAACAGAAAGTAGGTTTATTCATTAAGTCAGTAAAAATCTATTCATCACTTGCAGCTTGCCAAGTGCTATTCTCTATGGTACAGAGAACAAAACAGCGACAGCAGGTCTTCTGGACGGGGACCCTGGTCAGCTCCTCCCAGCATTAGACCAGGTGAATTGTTGAGGAGATCTAAGAACACCCGTGAGGTGTCTGTCTGGGATCTGGGAACACGATGCTGATGTGATTCTATTGCCGGTGACTTGAAAATTCATGAAGAACCCACTGGAGAGAAAGCCTGTTGTAATCAGAGGTCACTCAGTACATTTGCCTCTTGCTGCTGTTTTTTTTTTTTTTTTAAAACCATCTATGTGCTACATCTTTAATCTATCCTGACAGCAACCATGTTTGAGATTCTGTCTACAACTGTTCAGAAACCCACACACAGCCCCAGATTATATTACATTTCATTTCGGTGAATCGTAGTCAAACTCACGAAATCCCCGTATGTTAACACTCACATTAGCGGGTTGTTTGTTGGAGAATATGACACATGGAAGGCTATGAAGCAGAGATATGTTGCTATTAAATTGCTTTGCAGGGTTTTTTTTGCCATTATATTTTTTTTCTCCCCTCACAGTTATTTATTCCCTATCCAGAGTCAAGAATGAAACTAGTAAGTGGAAGCAGATCAAAGTCCAATTTTAGAAGAGCCAGGAAAGCAAATTACCTCTATTTTTACCAATGAGAGTAAATTATTTAAATCACGACTCTTTCATTTAACATGCTTTTAACAGTCCCCTCCTGAGGGTGTAACATTGCTATAGTTACAAAGATGAAAGAGGCAGACTTCTCCAAAACATATAATTCAATGATGTCAAAACTTATTTTTCCAATGGAAATAAATTTATGTATGTTTGTCAGTTTCCCAGGCCAAATAACAAAAGCCCATCTGACCTCTCCAGAATATGCTGAGCTTGAGTGCTTGTGTTATCACACAGAAATCTGGTCAAAGACCTCCGTACTTCATACACTAGACAATCAGATACGGAAGCATTGCCTTGGTTTTTGTCTTAGGATCATAAACAAGCCCCTAAAATGTCTATCACTTGTTCAAGATTCTTCTAATTTATGAAAATATTTCTTAAAATGAAAACCAAATATAGCATATATTTATAACATGGCACTTTGACTATGCAGGGACAGTGTGGAAGGGCTAAGAGGAGGTAATCTCAGTATGAACCAACACGCTAATGTTTTCTTCCGGGAAGTAAACTTGAAGTCTATGCCTTAAACAATCTTTGAGCTTATAATATAGTGTCAACAACTGAAGTCTGCTGCTGTACAATGGAGTCCTTGAGCACATGTTCCTTTATTTGTGATTTTATGCTCTTTGACTTTCCAACCTCTCACCTTCTGTCCCTGACGACTACCTTTCTACTTTCTGCATTTATAGATTCAATGTTTTAATCTTTTTATTAAAATATTCACACAATCGATGTTTGTGTATGGATGTTTCACCTACATGTATCCCTTTGGACTAAGTGCTGCCTGGTGCCTGGGGTGGGGGTGGGGTTTGGCAGGAGAAGGTGTTAGATATCCTGGAACTGGAGTCATGGATAGTTGTGAGCCACCATGTGGATGCTGGGAATTGGACTCCAGGTCCTCTGGACTTACAGCGAATGTTCTTAAACACTCACAGGCATCTCTCTCTCCAGCCCCAAATGTTAGTGCTTTTAAGATTCCACATAGAACAGAGATCTGATGGCTTCATTCACTGGTACCCCTCCTTTGCCTCTTTTTGCTAAGGCGACACCAAACTGTCCTCAGCCGGCTTTGACTCCTTGAGTCTGTACCTCTCAAGAGATCAAGATTCTACAGTAACCTGAGCCCCTTCTCCAGTTCTTTAACACTTTTGTTCTCAATTAGCTGAAAGGAGAAAAATCTCATCAAAGTGATTTTCATGACTTCCCATTCAAGTCTAGATGTAGGCATTGGCGTGTCATAGCCTCTCTTCTCTCCTGCTCCCTCTGCTTAGGAAAGACTTTCCTAAGGTGCTATCTGGGATTCAATGAATTCAAGCCAACAAGCAATCGATCCCTGTATTTTTTAGATTCTCTTCTTCAGATATCCATCTATAACTTATGAGTTATTGTAAGATTATTTAAAAATAATATTTCAAGACTTGTGCTTGCACAAGTAAAATTTCAGAGTGAATTAGTGAATGTATAGTAGTATTTTATTAGAAATCTATGCTTAAAATGCCGACAAGATTGTTCACTATGGTTATTTCCAAACTTAAATTAATCTTGGCTATAATTTTGTCAGTAAAACCTTTGTATTTGTATCTACCATAATTGTTTGCTCACTTAAAAAATAGTCTCTTAATGAGACCATTCTGTGGGAATGGGAGCTATGAGAAAAGCCAATGTTCTTATTTTTTTTAAAGCTAGTTATAGTTTAGAATTCCATACACTAAAAAAAAAAGAGATATAATTATTTTAAAAAATTGAAATAATCTCCAACTTTTCATTATTGCCTATTTGAAAGCACAGAATATAGGACATGGGTCTTTTATTTTTGGTCACTTCTGAAGAGATAAGAATCTATGAAGTTGATGGGAAAATGAGCCGTGACCAAAATGCTGACTCAGTATCTACAGGAGATCAAAGGCTGTTCTACTCAATCAGAACCTACTACGGCAAAGCCATTGCTTTCTTTGAAAACCATGTAGAGTTTAGAAGATTTCTGGGATTTGTGGGCAAAAGCACCTTCTCCGCCCTAACAGTGACGTTTTAGGGAAGACTTCGCATCTCAAGGTGGGAAGGTTCAGAGGTAGCCCTTTGTGGCCTCCTATGGTGGTTAGGTACTTCTTAGAAGACAGGACTGGAAATTAGATAATGTCTGATGTCATATTGTTCACAGTACCAAAAAGAAAAAAAAAAAACCTGGTGTCCCAATGGCTATAAAAGCAGCAACTTCTGCCTCTCCTATCACAAGCAGAGACACCTAAACAGGTAAGCACTTCAGACCGGTACAGAGAATTGATCTGCTTGGTGCCATGCTACCCAAGGAACATGTTTTCCTGATTTGTTTGCCTCTTGCTCTCTTGCTAACAGGTACTCCTACCAGTTATCAGTTGTTGACACTTGTGCGGTCTGTGATGGCTATCCTGCAGAAATCTACCAGCTTTTCCCTTATGGGGACTTTGGCTGCCAGCTGCCTGCTTCTCATTGTCCTGTGGGCCCAGGAGGCAGATGCTCTGCCCATCAACTCCCAATGCAAGCTTGATGTGTCCAACTTCCAGCAGCCTTACATTGTCAACCGCACCTTTATGCTGGCCAAGGAGGTATGGCTGCATCTCTCTCTCTCTCTCTCTCTCTCTCTCTCTCTCTCTCTTTCTCTCTCTCTCTCTTCTTTGAAGCACTTGTAAACTCTTTACGGGGACTTTATCTCCGTAGCTCTCTACTTATGTTTTCCATGTCTCTTTAGAGACCCTTTAAGGACCAGATCTTTTTCTGTTTCTATTTCAGGGTTTCAGGACCTTTTTCTATTTTGGTCTTTAGGATGCATATGCCAGATTTTATCTACAGAGGAGTATTTAGAGAGCCACCTTTTACTGTCATACTTTTCCTCTCTGTCCTCTCTTCTGAATGCATACTCTCAGTAGCCACTCATGAGACCTACTGGGGGACATACATCTCTACTTACACGCTTTTCTTCAACCTTCATGTCATCCAGACACTTAGGGTTTTTTCTCTTCCAGGCCAGCCTTGCAGATAACAACACAGATGTCCGGCTCATCGGGGAGGAACTGTTCCGAGGAGTCAATGTAAGTTCTCCTTGTGATGAGCAGGGAGCGTATCCATTCAGGGTTAGCTGCAGTAGCTGATGGATCCTCTGGGATGTTCTGCAATGTGACCCCTGATGTTTCCTGTCTACCTACAGGCTAAGGATCAATGCTACCTGATGAAACAGGTGCTGAACTTCACCCTTGAAGATGTTCTGCTTCCCCAGTCAGACAGATTTCAGCCCTACATGCAGGAGGTGGTATCCTTCCTGACCAAGCTCAGTAACCAGCTCAGCCCCTGTGTAAGTCTTTCTCTTGGTTCGATCGACCTATGCTCATCTTTCTTCCTCTCCTATTCCAGTTAGAACCTGTGGTCTTTCCCTCTTTCTCTTCACAAGTGTGAGGAGGGCCTCAGCAACACCACCATCAGAGGCCACTTGAAATAGGTCACAAAGCGATCACTTTGGCTTCAATTGAATAATACTTTGAATTTGTATGAGTGAAGTCTTACTTGTTTTACCTGTGGAAAGAAAGCAACTCCACTTCTGTATGATGAGAAAGATGTTGGGAACTGTAAGAAAAAAGGCCTAGATACAGAAACAGATCCACTGAGTACAAGTACTTGTGGGGAGGGAGATTCACTGAGTACAAGTACTTGTGGACAGGGAGATCCACTGAGTACAAGTACTTGTGGACAGGGAGATCCACTGAGTACAAGTACTTGTGGAGAGGGAATGGCACAGAGCAAAAGTTGAAGGGAAAAAGGGAGATGGAAATGCCTCCTGGTCTGGGGTGTGCAAAGCTCACTCCTTTTCAATGTGATGGAAAGGTAAGAAAAATCAGCTTGTGAGTTTGATGCTTCCAGACACCCCAAACTATGAAACATAGCCGTGAGGAGCGGGCAGATTGAGGGAGAGCTGGCATCTAGGGAAGGCTTTCCTCTTCACAGGAGAAACTTTATGCTCATCTCTTGAGCTACACTTCCACCTTTGAGGAGGTTCAGCTCAGGTTTCCTTTCTACCTTGCTTGCTACCGGTGGAAACCTCAGCAAAGATTTCCCAAAGAGGAAGACAGCTCTTCAGTAAGGGAGGGAGGGACCTGGATTTCAGGGTCCCAGAGAACGAAAGCGCTCAGAGAATCTAGGTCACCGCGAAATCTAGGTCACTGAAGGCAAAAATGACTGAACGCCTCTATTCCAGGTGAATGGTCACATGCCTCAGATGCACTGAGGTATTGGGCTTCAATCGGGCAAGATTCTGTTAGTGAGTGTGCTTTTGTTTTGTAGCACATCAGCGGCGATGATCAGCACATCCAGAACAACGTCGAAAGTCTGAAGGAAACCGTGAAACAGGTATGACTGACAAGCCGTAATTCTAAGCCATCCAATAGGGCAAGCGAGGGTTTCGTTCTCTGCTTCCCAGACCCTTTTACTTTGGAAAATTTTACTTGATTTGTCTACTGTCTGGTTCATTACTTGCTTAGCTGAACGTGCGTCTAGCCGGGTCTATAGATCGTTCAATCTGTTCCTAAATTTGTAAGTCAAACTCTAGAGCTAGCAGAAAACTTAGTTCAGCCAGTCCCATGAGCACGCGCTTGGAGGACGGCTTGTGCCAATGCTGGGAGGCAGCGCTCCGGACTCCCAGGGTTGGGAGTCTTTAAGATACAAAATAGCGTGCTTGGGTATCATCACAAAGGAAGTCTGGGAAGGCAACATGTGAGAGGAAGGCGGGAAAGGAAAGGAGAACAGAACGTAGAGGATTTGAAAATCTACAAATCCCCCATGAGAGGATTTTTCTTGGAACGATCTAGAACAAGGCTAGTGGATTCGGTGGACTACAGAGGGACCTGCTTTGTCGTTTGAATCGGGGTTTTTTGTCTCTCCGTTGAGGATGAGAGTCTCAGCCTTTTCGCCCTCTAATGGAGGAGGAACGAAGGGATGTTATGACTCCTATCTGGACTTTTACTAGTTTAAGCAACGGAACAGACACTCCAGACTTCCTCTTTGCAAAAACTGGAAATCTGTTACTTGCCTCGTGTTTTTTCTTCTGCTAAGAAAGCGAGCACAGGCAAAGCCTGACTACATGGGTCCATATGTGTGTCTTTGAGTCAAAGCTTTCGGGTTGAGCACTCATCAGTAGTTGATCATGGTCAGGCGGAGGGCTCTGTGTCAGGTCAAGCCCTGCCGGCTTAGCCCTTAGCATCTCCAGGTCTCAGTATGGCTTTCTGCTGCTTAGCATGGTTAGGAGCTGAACAAACCTTTTTTCCAACCCCCACTAAAATTTACTTTGAATTGACAAGTGATCGTGTAATTTGTGGGATACGGTGTGATAACTGACCTTTGTGCGCAAGGTTCAACGGAGTGGATTAATAGGCCCATCAATAGCTTCGTGGGTGTGAAATGGAAGTAATATAGATGCCTGTAGTGTCCTCAGGTCAGAAAGGCATCATTTTAAGGTCTTTGGTAAACCATATTAGGCTCATGCTAAAAATATATTATGTTGATTATTAATCTTCTAGAGAAGGCTGATACTTGGTTTTGGTGTTCAGCCAGCAAATGGCGCCACGCCTTTCTAACGAGTACCTCCTTAGAAAACGACACGTGCTCAAATCAGTTTGTGTTCTTATTTTCATAGCTCGGAGAGAGCGGAGAGATCAAAGCGATCGGGGAGCTGGATCTGCTGTTTTTGTCCCTGAGAAACGCTTGCATCTGATCGAGAGAAGCTGGAAAACGAATAACTGGTCCTTCCTGCCTGCCGAAAAGAACAATGAGATTCCTGAACGGACTTTTTGACTAAAGGAAAGTGAGAGGCTAAATTCCACCATCATTAGAAAATTTCACATGAAACCTGGCTCAGCTGAAAAAGAGAATCAGTGTCAACTTGTCCATGACACCAGAGGTAGACTTGCTAACCACAACGATTCATTGACATTAGTCACTGATGATACAACAGAAAAATAATGTATTTAAAAAAATTGTTTATTTCCTCAAAGGAGATTACCTCTCATTCCTTTAGAAAAAAAAGCCTATTAACTTCACTTCCATAACCAATACTTTATATATGTAAGTTTATTTATTATAAGTATACATTTTATTTATGTCAGTTTATTAACATGGATTTATTTATAGAAACATTATCTGATATTAATATCTGAATATAAGGCAAATAATATTTATGATAATAATAACTATGGAAACAAGGTATCTTGGGCTTCAATAAACACATGAATATCACACATCTTCTGTCTTGTAATTTTTCTTTCTTTAATATCAACAATATCATCAGCTGCATCATTATCCAATCATTCTCATGCCTTCATGCTTGACCCATAAAAATTAGGTAGCTATAGTATTATACTGTTAAAGTTTGTCCCCAGAGGCCTGTGATTTTGTGCGTGAGCATGTGTGTGTGTGAGTGTGTGTGTGTTTGTGTGTGTATGTGTGTGTGAGTGTGTGTGTATGTGTGTTTGTGTGTGTATGTGTATATGTGTGTGTGTTTGTGTGTGTGTATATGTGTATGTGTGTGTGTGTTTGTGTGTGTGTATGTGTGTTTGTGTGTGTATGCCCATGCATGTGAAAGACAGAGATGGATATTAGGTGTCCTACTCTATCAGTCTCTGCCTTATTATTCGAGACAGAATCTGTCACTGGATTGGAGCTAGGCTGGCCAACAAGCTCTATTAATTCTTTGGTCTTTGTCCCCAACATCAAGGAGCCTTTAGCCTTGTGTGGCCACGCTTGTTTTTTTTTTCATGGGTGCTGAGGAATCAAACTCAGAACCTCATGCATTCACACTAAACACTCTTACCCTCTGAACTCTCTCCCCAGCCCTGCAAACATGCATTAAAAGCTTAGTTTTCAGGACAATGGTTATTGAGAGATAGTCCAGGCTTTAGGCCTTGTGGGGGCTTCTCATGTCAAATGGGTAAATCCTTGAAGGAGATAATTGGATGGAAATCCTTTCTACATCTCTTGCTTTTGCATCTTGGGCATGAGGTAAGTGACTTTGTTCAATCATGTACTCACACACTATGACAGGTAGCCTGGCTACAAACCCAGATACAGTTGATCCAATTGGCCATGAACTGAATCTCTGATACTATGATAGAAAAAAACTTTATCCCATTGTAAGATGACTCTTTCTGACAGTTGTTGCAGTGCTATGAAGCTAGTATACACACACACACACACACACACATCCCACAATCTATTTTATGCTTAAGAATGGATAAAATGGATTTCATTTTATGGAAGGAATCAGAGACATATGAGAAAATGTTTTGTGAACACAGTGAACGGTTTCATTTCTAGGGAGGGCATTCCTCAGTCTTCCTGAGAAGAAGGTAATGTATTATGTTTGGGTGAGCAAGTCTCTCTAACAAGTGGAAATATCATTGATACAAGGCTTCTGTACCAGAAAACAGGAAGTATATTATGAAACACACAGAGAGAAAACTGTGTATTTTCAAAATCTATACTGTGGGACCGAGGAGAGAGAGACAGAGAGACAGGGAAAAAACAAAGGTTGAATGTCGCCCGACTTGGGGCCTAAACACGAGAGACCATCTGAAAAACAGTCTTAGTAAACAATAAACAACACTGATACTAACTATGACTGTGTTTACAAAAAGTGTGTTTAAAAAGATATGATCTAGGTAAATAAGTGTTGACCCGGTGCTGATTTTGCCTAAGAGGTGACAAGAAATTATAGGTCAAGAAAATTCTAAACAGACATTGCCCACAGTCTAAGAGCTGCTTCAGGCAAGAGAAACAGAGTTAAAAAAAAAGTTAAAAAACTAAAAACACTAAAATATACTATCAATAACTGCCCAACTACATCTCCTAAAAAAAGAGATAAAGAGTTATATCTTAAATATGAGAGAGAAAAAGGGTTTCAAAAAACTGTTGTCCTCTCTCTAAACTGTGTCAACAACAACAAAAAAAAGACTCTTTCAAGCCTTGAGCAGGCCTGAGAGACCTTGTTTACCACAATAGACCAAACAATAAGACTCCAGAGATATTGCCTGCCTCGACAGAGATATTGCCTGTCTTGACAGAGATATTGCCTGTCTTGACAGAGATATTGCCTGCCTTGACAGAGATATTGCCTGCCTTGACAGAGATATTGCCTGCCTTGGGGCCTCCTTGGCTGCCTGTAGCCTGATACACAAGCTGAGAAAAATAGACTGTCTACTGAACTTGCCTTGAGACATCTCTGGCCTTCCATTAAAGATAGATTCCCCTCACCCTCAACAAGATAGATTCCCCTCACCCCCAGCAGGCTGAAACAAACAAACAAAAAAAAACTTTGGGGGTAGAGATAAACTTTCCCCTTTAAATTAAAAACTAAACATTAAAACATTGAGCCTCGATCGAAAACCTTTGTCCTGACTTTGTCTCTTTCCATCCTCCTGTCCCTTCTTCCATTCCTAACCTCTCTTTCAGGTAAACCAGTTGACTGTGGCCGCTGGCCGACAACAAAGGTTAAATTAGGAGGCATGATACTAACACAGAGAAGTCACTAGGGAGAAGGGAAATTATTGATTGTGTATGTCTTTTCCTAGAAGATCAAAGTCACTGGGTATAAATAGTTAGAGACTGTCTGTCTAAGTGATTTCTTCTTTGATCTGGTGCCACAAGTCTATTCCTCCGGGTCACTTGCCATGATCTTCCTTTGCCAGCCTCCCATAGAGTGAGGTGGTAAGCAGAGAGCCTGTGTGTGAACTGTCCCTCCCTCAGGAACAACAGAGGTTAATGTTTCTGTGCTTGCTCTGCAAACGTGGAGAGCTGCAGCAGGAAACAGTTGGATGGACTATTGAACTGTCATTTTCGGATAAGCTGAAGCTGTGTGTTTGAATGAGTGTTACAGCCACAGGCTGCTGACCTTGGATGATTGGTTCCATTGTTGGTAGAACTGTTTTGAGGATATGACCTTAGAGGAGTTAGGTCATTGGGGGTGGCCTTTGAGGTTTTAAAAACTCACATCATGCCCAGCTCTGCTTTCTCTGCCTCATGTCAGTCATTAAGGTAGCATCTGGCAATAGTGTTCTCAGATATTAGAAGAACAAAATGGCGGCCTCCTTTAAGGTTGGTCTCTCATTCAGGAGTTACTGTCATAAAATTCCCTCACTGGGCTAAAGGCTTGTGAGAGCCATGTGTTTGTCTATGGTCAGGACTGACAGGCTGGCTTTGTCTAAGGTCAGGGATTACTGGTCTACCTTGTGGTCTTGGTCTTCTCCTTCTTCAAAGAGCCAGGTTGGGGTCATGGGCTGATGCTTCCTTTTCTCTGCAGAGCCTGTCTGTTTCTCTGTGTGTTTCAGCTGTCCTGTGACTTCTTTAGCCATTTCCAATGCTCTTTCCTCTGTATCTTAGGTATAAAGCGTGCGCTATGCTACTTGAATGCTTTGCCTTTGTGTGTGGGGGTTGTTCATTAGTTTGAATTATTTTATGACACAAACATGTATCAAAACATAACACTGTATTTGAGAAATACATACAATCATTACTTGTCAATCATTTTATTTTTTGTTAAGCCCATACCAACCCCTAAATGTCTCAAACAATAAAAACACCTTTTTTTAAAAAAAGAAAAATAAATATGAGACAAGGTCTTGCTGTGTAGCCCAGGCTGGTATTGAATTCACCATCCCTGCCCCCACACACTTGCCTCTCTGCCTCTCAAGTGCTGGGATTACAGGTGTGTACCTCCAGACCCAGATATTTGTGCAGAGGCGGAACTATTTGTCTTCCAGATCCCAACCTTTCAATGTGTAGGTGGGTAGTAAGAGACTTCTAATGAGTGGTAGACTATCTTTTTTTAATCTTTAATTTCTTTTTGTTTTTCACTTGGGAAAATTTTCCCTGAGAAATCTGTATGCAATGCCCGGTATACAGATTTATGAAATAGTCATATAAATAATTTTCTGATGACAAATTGTTTTATATAATTATAAACAATTCACTTTTAAACAATTATAAAACATGTTGTTGTACCATTTATTAAAGAGAAAATGAAATTTCCATGCTAAAGAGATGGATGTGGTCATTCGTGTGTACATAAAAAAATTAAGTCTTGGCTAAATTTGGTACTGTAGGGAGTAGAGCATCTCAGTGTTTCTGATATTCTGAGTTTATCATCATCAGTGCTAAGACTGACACTTTGTATTGTACAAAAAGGCAAAAAACATCTTTCCAGCCATTTCAGAAACTGTAGGAAACTCTGCTCTAATCCCAACCTATGGTTCATGTAATGATTGTTTTATGAACCCAAGTTACCAACTGAAACAGAGATTTTTTCCCATATATATGTGTCTTTCTTTACTTGAATGCTTTTCGTTCATAAAGTCTTGTAGAGAAAGTCTTTAAACTATCATCTTTGCCCAGAAATCTTCCAGCCTAAGATTTTTACCCTAGGCCTTAAGAACAGCTGCTATAAAGAAAGGAATGGTAGAAACTTTCTATTAATTAGCTGTCATGTTTTCCCCATCTTCTCTTCTATGAAGAGTGCTTACAGTGGGTAGTATTTTATTTTTATGTAGAAATCTGACCACATTGACATCGTGTACGACTATGGTAGCGGATGAAATTCCATGAGTGTTCTGTGTTGGCACATACTTAATTTTTCCTTCTTCCTTTCAGAGATGAGGCTGGGCGCCAGGTTGAAGGAAGAGGAATTAGGCTGTTTGGTTTCTCTTGCTCTTCTTCTTTCTTTCCCACACCTCTTTGTGTCCAGTGTGATTGAAACAGACTGCCTTTACTGACAAGCTCGCTGTCCAGATTTTGCTTGCTCTTGGTTTATGGACTAGGTTAGCAGGAGGCAGCAGAATGAGAACGAGGTCAACGCACTGAGTCCCTGAAGCCCTTGCTGGGTTGCTGTTCACATCAGCAGTACATTTCTCTGAAAAGCCAAAGCTCCCTCGGCCTTTCTTTTCATTGCTCTTTCTGCTGTTGTTCTGGTAACTGCTCTCAACCTGTCCCCAGTGGGCTTTGAACTACTGTGAGCTCTACAGAACCGCAAAATTTCTTACTGTTTTCCCTGAATTCTTTCTACAACGGAATAACAAATGTGAACTCCTCTCCACTGCCCAGTCTGACTGTGTCATGACTTCCATGGAGTCTCTGTTGTACCTGTCTCCTTTATGTCCCCCTGCCTTATTTTTGCTGAAGTTTGGGAATCTGGATAAGATTGTTAACAGACAATTGCAGCCAGTCATTAACATATCAGAGCTGTAGGA